TATCCTTTTATAATTTGAAATGTTAAGTACGCCCACTCCAAACCTGCAAGGGATAAGTGCAAAACCTGTAAGTTAAAAGAACCCTTTGCGGTTGGGAAGCAGGGGTGGGAGGCAGGGCAGCAGTTTCATTTGGAGGGAAATCAAAAAGAAAAAAACAAAAAAATCCTACTTCCTTTCTCCCTCCATTTGGACAAGTTCTATTGCCATGATGGATGTGATATGGTAGCCAATTCAAAAATGAGAAAAAAAAAAAAAAACATAAATTAACTAACTATAACCTAAAACTTTTTTTTTTCTTTTTTTCATTTTTTCCGTCGATAATTGTTTAAAGTTCTTAGTTCAGAACTATATTAACAAAGAAAAAATGGTTCTTTATTCAGTAGTTCAGAGATTCCTTTTCATGTCATCTTTGACTAATTTATTTTAGAGCCACAAAGTTGACTGGTGCTTTTATTTTTTTTTATTAATCTCTCAGTATTTGGTAATTAAGATTTCGATTAATCCAGAATCAAGTCGTGTTGAACCTCATTAGAAGGAAACTCTCCCAACACATGTTTCTTTATTTACAAGACTCGAGTTTAAAATATTATTTTAGAGGAATTGAGTTTCTTTCATTTAAATCAACAAGTTATTGGTCACAATTCACCTACTTTAGTTGCCTTGCTATATTACAAAGCTCATGCAAACTTTGAGTGCTGCATTTATTAGTAAGTATTGTTTTATGTTTATATTTCAAGTTTAAAGACTAATATTTAAACAAATTAAATTTTAAATATATTCAATTGATGTGGAGTGCGTTAGAATTGCCCTTAGAACACTCATGACACAATTTCGTTTTAAAAGAAAATTTTAAAATAATCCTTTGTTCTTAAATTAGAGAATGTATATAAATTTCTATATCTCATTAAACGAGAAGAATCAATTATGGCATAGTTACAAATTGTTAGGTTCATAAAATTATGAAATTTTATTTTAAAGTAAGATTGTGCATGAATAATTCATAATATTTTTTTGTGAAAAATTCATTTTTATGGTATAAACCTATTAAGCTGTTCCAGAAAAACCTTTGTCCCCCCTTGACCATTGTTTTGTTTTGTTCATTCATTCGATAAGATTTGTTTTGATTTGATTGTGTTTTTATTTGTTTTGTTGACTTTTGATCTTAATTGCATGATTAAAAGAGGCAGGATTATAATTGAAGGAATGGTAATTTCGAGAAAATTAAGTTCAGTTGTATTAATTAATTAACGAGGATCATGGCTAATTTTATTATTAAAATCTGGAAAGAGGATATTATAAGCTTGAAGTGATTAGCTGTTTGTAAATGAGCCTGTTTTGCTGTTTGTTTGTCTTTTTGACTAGAATCCAAACGAGGTTGGAGAAAATAAAAATTGTTCTCTCCACAATAAGATAATAAAGAGATATTATATATTATTTAAATTATACAATTTAAATTATTACATAGAGATTTTTAATGTTGAGAACCGTCCCCAATTCCTGTTACGAAATGTGCCATGGAAAGTGAAAATGATAAAATAAGTGCACAGGCCAACGAAGCATTGGGGTTCTGATAGTTAAACTGAACGCAATACAGGGGAGTACCCTCAAGTCAGCTTAATTAATTTTATGTTTTATGTAGATTATTGTGTCATTTTTAATTTTATTAATGGATTTTTAGAATATGTATTCTTGTGATACAAGTCAATGATGTAATAAATATATTTCTTATTATAAATATTTGTATTAAAAAATGAAAATAAATATTTAATTTATCAATTATCTAATTCAATTTATTCATTTAATACTAATTTTAATATTAACATTAATTCTTATATTTCTTTATACATATATTTATGATTAACTTATGAAAAATGATTAGTACACCCTCTGGTTCAACATACTTAATGACACTTTTTGGTTCAGTCATCAAAATTTATCTTTGAAAATTTTTTCACCTTAAATTTAAATTTGAAAATATTAGTTTCTTAGTGAATAAACTAGAATATATTGTATAGTGTGTTGAACTGAAAAGTGTACCAATCATTGTCGTACACTTTAATAACGAAATGCACTTAAATTCCGGTTGGAGTACTTTGTTGCATTCTCTACTTTATTATCTCGGAAAACACCTTAAATTTGGATGAAAAAAAAGTCACTACATGACCATTGAAGCCTTTTTGATTTAAGGAAAAAGGGAAATGTTATTAGGACAATCATTTTATTTCACTTTTTTGTATAATTTAATGTGTCATTAAAATTATTAATTTTTTTAATTTATATAATACCCGTGATATTAAATACATCTACTTATTTAATAATATACGGAAGTTGTACAAAAAAATTGAGACAAACTTTTTGTCCCAATAGCACCAGCTAAGGAAAAAATGAAGGGAGGCGAGAGAGGAGAGTGATAAAATTTTCGTACAATTAAATTAGTTCCTGAAATGATTAGGAAGCATTAACAATTCCAATTTGCAACTCCAACTCTTCTCATAAGAAAAAAAAAAAAACACCTTTGGGTGACAGGTTTCTTACGATATTTGCAGATATATTTTGTCACCCTGGGATTTGTGTAAATTTTCAATAATAATCTTTATCTTCCCTAGATTTCTAATGAAAGTTTTGCTATAATCAATTGATTTATATAATGTTTATAATATGTGGTGTTTATAAATCATCTATGATATCAAATCTAAATATATATCTATCTATATATATATATTTCTAATTTGAAAAGCACAATGCGATGAGAAGTTAATCATCTCAAGTGATCTCTTTCATTAGTTGCTAAAGTTAATATTTTTAGAGATTACATAAAAATTAAGATTTTTTATATTTTTTATTATTGTATTATATTATGTAAAAACCCTATAGCAATGGAATTGAGGGAGACTGGAAACGAATATCTCTATCATCCGTTTTCTCCTACTGAAATTTTTTTATCTGAATTGTTTAAAAAATTTAATGAATGTAATTTTTATTTACTTATATGAATTTTTTTTTTAAGTTATAGTTTTTAATGATCATTCATTTTAGTCACAAATATTTTGATTGGAACTAATGCAACAAATTAAACAAATAATCAAATATCACAAATTAATCTTAATTAGATTGACCCATAAATGGATCATCTGGTTTATTATGACAAATACAATAACATAAATAAAATTAACAACTTAAATCCTTAATAATTACTTAGGAGTTGACAAAAGCACAACGCTTCCTGATCTGCCCTTTCTTGCCTGTGAGAACTTCAATGTCTCCCATCTTCACCATCGACTGCGCAAACTGCCTAAAGAACCTTGATGAATTGAGGAAATTTCGAACGATTTTGCGTGCGCCCCTGTTAGTAAGAAGCGCTGCATCGGACTGAAACAGACCCTTATGTTGCTCCAGGGTGACATAGTAGTGATTGTCGAAGTTCAGAGCGCTACCGGGATCCATTGCGACGAACGTAGTGTTATCGCTTAGGCTCTTGCATTTGGTCTTGAGGAAAGCAGCGTAGGTCGGATTCAATGAAGGGTCTTGGCCGCCTTTCCCAGTGAAGTTGTAGAGCCGGTTCCTAAAGGCATTGCAATGCCCTACTCCGATTGTGTGTCCACCTGCATTTACATTAACACATTTAGCTATTAATTAATATCACAGAGATTTAAATTTTTGATTTTATTAATTAAAAAGTTATGCACTTGAACCTGATAACACGGCAAGGTCAAGCACGTTGAGGTCTTTTTTGGCAAAATTTTGTTTAAGGACGGTGAAGTTGGAGAAAGGAGAAGGAATATTGCCCGAGACTTCAGAAGCTCGCGAAATGATGCCATCTCTTCTACCAGTATACACTTTCCAGAGATTTCTTTTATACTGAAAATATCAATTGTTCGAAGAAGGATAAAGCTATAAACATAGACATAAAGTGAAAGATTCATACTTGTTGCAGAACTGCATTGGAAGTGCATTAATTCCGAAATGAGTGTGTTTTTACTTACTTGGAATGAAACAGAATCTCTGGCAGCCAAAGCAAGAATATCAGCACAAGACACAACTCCTGGACATGCTTTCTCTACTTTTTCTTTTATATCATCAATCACGTCGAAACCCAATAAGGTCAGGTTCGGCGTTGCGGCCTTCTCTGCAGTGTTGTTCGCAGTTGAGTTCAACAAAATGGAACCATCACAACCCTATAAAAATTTTGGCAAAAAAATGAGAGAATTATAATCAGTTTAATTAATTAACTGGCATGATATGTTAATTAGCTTCATTATACCCTAACAAAGCAGTCATGAAAGTGCAGTCTGAGAAGCCTGGCTGGTACGGTAGGGTTGGCCTTGACGTGTTCCCACGTTGAATTTTTTATAATCTCCTCGGCAAGAGGACAGCTTTGACAGTAGAAGTCCTCCTGGAGCCTGCCGGCTTCGGTGAACGCAAGAACTCCGAAAGCTAACATGCAAAGCAACAAAGAAACAAGATTCTTCATCTTGACAAGAAAGAGATAATCAATAATCCAGTAGTTCTAGGGGGAGATTGTATGCTCCATATTGAAATGCAGAATGGAGAAGACATACCTTTGCCTTTTATAGATGTCGAGTAGGCATCAATCTTAACTAAGATCCAGCTAAGAAAAGAAACGCATAATAATTAATATTACTTGGAGAGAGAAGAAGATTCGATTTTTATGGTTGCATGTATCCACCAGGACCTTAATTAGCTTTGTACTGTATATTCCGGTAAATGTATTTTTCTTTTCTCTATACATATATTTATAAATGATCGAAGTCATCAATGACATATGTGTTTTGAGAGGTGATACTAATTGAGGTTGAGGCGTATGTCAAGATAATCTTAATTCATATCTCCTAGTCAATAGACATCTTAATTAAGAATGGAGGTGGAAGATGATTTTGGGGATTTTGGTTGCAAGCCCTGTATTTTGGTTGGTTCTCTACTTTAACCCCTCTTTAAAGTCCTTCAAGTTTTCCAAAAATTTCATTCGGAGTCTTTAATTCCAAAATAATTTATGTGTTCAAGAAATTACTTAAGCGTAGACTTGAGGTCCTCTTATTGTTGTGGAATATCTTCATAGGTGTTTCTTTTGTAATGCTTACTTGAGATTATGGGTAGAGTACCCCTTGTACTCCTTATCATAATAAATTATTTTGATTCATCAAAAAAAATTGTTCAACGAATTAATAAAACAACACGCCCTAATTAGTACTAAATTTATCATCATAAGTTTAGCTTGATTCTAGAACTTGAATAGAGAATGTGCAACAAATGGATTCATAGTTAGCTAGTTACATTTGTGTTGCTTTTAATTTTTGTGTTCGGTTAGTAGACTTTTCTTAATTAGTTTTGTACTCTTTCTAAGGCTACTTAATTAATTAACTAATGTTTTCTCATTTTAGAGGTTTTCCTTTCCGCTAGTTTTGAGGAGATGAGAATCTCAATGAGATAGTTTAACAGTTAAGAGATTGACATTCCAAATTAAAAATTTCAAGTTCAAGTCTTAAATTAAATGAGGAAAATTTTAAAAATATAGAAGAACTATCATTTTTTTATATCATTCATAATTAGATGATAAAAAAATAAAAATCCTTTGAGGAGATGGGAGCAATTATTCAATTTGGGTGTCTAGGACACATTAGAATCACCCAACAGGGACTTGCCTCGATGGCTGGATCGACGTCCTTTAGGGTGAGATGATCGTTCGA